GTAGTCGGTCGGCGAGTCGAGGTTGATGACGTGCAGCCGGTTCTTCAACAGCCTGGATCGCCGGGAGGAAGGATTCGCGCTGGATGCCGTTCTTGTAGAGCTCGTCGGGGTGGCGGTTGGACGTCGTCACGAGCACGACGCCGTGCGACATGAGCGATTCGAGGAGCCTGTCGAGGACCGTGTCAGTGAACGCAGAAAGAAAGGGAGGGCCCCGGCTGGCGTCGTTGTTCTCTCTCACCGTCGCAGGATCATGGCGTCGGCGACGTCAGTGCACTGGAACTCGTCGAAGCAGAGCACGTTGCCCTGCTCGGCAATGTCGGCGGCGATGAAGGGCACGGCGTCGACATCGTTGCCGTGCTCGAGCTTCATCTTGTGGAGCCGCTTGTGGATGTCCTGCATGAAGTTGTGAAAGTGAATGCGCGTCTTGGACTTGACCGACGGCGGCAGCGTGTCGTAGAAGAGGTCCATCAGCATGGTCTTGCCGCTGCCGACATCGCCGTAGAGGTAGAGGCCGCGAGGCAGGTTGCTGGGGATCGCGCCGATCGTGGCCCTGCCCGGCTTGCCTCCGCCGAAGAGGGACCCGAAGAGGGACTTGGAGGGCGTGAGGGACGCGAGGTCGGGGTGTTCGACGGCCGGCGCCGCGTAGTTTGCCAGTTCGTCGTGGAGATGCTGCAGGCTCTCGATGATGCCTGGGACACGGGATCAGTCAGCTGCGGCCATGGCGGCAGTCTCGGCAGCTGGTGCTGCTGGACCTTGCTCACCCCCTCTGATGCTCGTCGTTTCGTAGGGCGCCAGTCCTCGACGCGGTGGTCGTACTCTTGCAACGGCCCTCGATTGTGGTTTTCGCACTGCGCCATGTCAGCTGGCTCGGTCTGCCACGGGGTTTCGCCTCTGTGCTGCTCTGCTGGCGTCGCCCTTACCATTCTTGGTATTCGCCGCCGCGACCGTCGAGGCCCATCTCTTCACCACGTGCTCTCGAGAGGATCGAGGCGCCGCGTGCAGGCGCGGTGCAGCGACATGCCCCTGGCTCGTCGTCGCTCGCGCTTCAGACGTCTGGCTCGGTCGACAGAGGCACGTCGTGCATAGCGTGCGACCTCGACCCTGCCTCGGCAACACGATGCGACGAGGCGCGTTGAGTCGAAGGCTGCGAAGCGGGGCAGAGGCGGCGCAAGGGCGCATCGTCGCGGTCTATAACATGCAAACGTCGAAGCAACTGTTCTCCGAGGCGGAATCAAAGCAAACGAGAAGGGCTATGCTGTCGCGGCTATGCTGTCGCGGCTGTTCATGAGACGTATGCAGAAAGCGTGATGCAACCTCAAACCAATGGAGGGCGAGAATTTCGGTCGTGGCCGGGTCGATACGATCGGACGCAAGTTCTGGCACCGACGGGGGCACGCGAACACCAGTCTTCGTCTGGGTCAGGGTCAGGGTCAGCGCCCGCCAAGTGACGTGAGCACCCGTTGTCCGAATGCCGAACAATGCCGATATACCTTAGTCTTCGGTTGCCTTAGGTAAGCCGAGCTGGAGGGGCAGCGAGATGCTCCCAGCAAACCTGTGTTGTCGTGATACTATGAACATTGAGGCGAAAGGGAGCTAGATCCTCTGATCTGGGCTTTCTGTGCAGCTTGACTTTCTCTTTGCTATACTATCATTCACCTTTATTCAGAAATGTCTCGAATCCCAGTCCTGCTCTCCAGCAGTATCATTGTCCAATTCACACAAACACCTCCAATCATCGACGCAACTGACAGCAGGCGATAGGGTTTAGAACAGTATGCTTGAATGACTCTCGAACTTCGTGTCATGCGCATCAAGGCAATTCACCCCAGCACCAGTCCAGTCCCCTCCCATTCACTGCTGGCATATCCGTTCACCAGTGGCATGACCACTTCACTCCCCCGCCCCGCATCACACCACGAAATCCCCGTCACCTTGGCCTGATGGCGAAGCTGACGACAACCCTGCCTGAGGCGTCAGTGATGCAGTGCCAGAGTTCGATACATGAGGCAGATAGCTAAAACTATGTCACTATAAATTTTACACCACTATCACGTATTTCATCACGTATTTCAGAGTCGTAGTCAATGACAAGTACTCCCCAACCAGATATTCGAGAAATCATACTTCCCAGACATAACCCACCACACATGCCAGACACAAATACAATACTCAACATGCAGCAGCCCTTTGAGAACACCAGGAGCGAGTCGACCCGCCAAAGTGTCCATCACCACTACTCTGGCGCTGCCCGGCCATGCGCCACCATCGGCATCGTTCGGCTGGTCCAGATGGTTCTTTCCAGCATGGTCATCATGATGCGCCCTGCCGTCCTCGACTCCATGTCAACAGGGGAGGCTGATCATGGCGACTGGACCATGCTTTTCGGTATCGCCGCCATCTGCTACGCCAAATTATGCTACCACAGCCCATTCGGACCCCAAATGGCCTGTCTGGACTTGCTATGCGCGTGCTTTTGGTATCTCATACTCGCCACTTTTCGCGAATACCACGTCGTGGAATCCTGGGCCGTGAATGCGCCCCTCGCTCTGTCGATTCAAGCCAGTCGCTTCTCAGCTCTACTCTAGTATGGAACGGGCCTCTATGGGTTGTCGACGTGGTGGAGGCAGGATAATGGTCAGGTTCGGCCAGGCTCGGATGTTTCATGAGGGCCTCAATTCAGAAGCAAGAGGCATAATTCGTATCATCACACATGGTATCATCACCCACGAATACGTCCAGATGATATGAGAGACATGATGCTTTCCATCCGCTGTCCATCTGCCACACTGTGACGCGCAGCTTTTCATAAGTGAAGGGACCACTGCAGAGTCCTCTCAGGAGAAGACACGTTAGACGCTGCCCGCCAAGAGCAACGCCACCCCGAGAGACCCAAGAGCACTCATCCCAGAGCAGTGAACCGAGCTGGCCAAGCTGTTGCTGCCCTCACGCGCGCTCCCACCAGTCGATTCTGCCCCGCCCGAGGGGATTGCCTCCTCCCCGGAGCTGTGGCCAGCCGTGTCCTTCTCAGACGAAGCCGTCCCGAGCTCGCCCCCAAACGCCTCGGCGGGTGAAGACGAGTTCCGCCCCACGGCGTTCTGGGTATACGCCAGGAGTGTCTGGTTGATCGTCGGGTTCACCACCCCCACCATGCCCATGGCACAGTGCTGCCCCTGGCTGCAGTAGAAGAAGATGGCT